TTGAAATGTGCGGGTTGAAGGGAGAATAAATGATAGATTTAGATGACTGACATAATGCTAAAACTAAGGCTACAATATATAGGTACCACATTACACTACAGGAGTTCACAAAAAAAGAATTTGAATAGACATTTTTTGTTATAATAGTAACAAACCTTGCAAATAGAAATAGGTAACAATAAAACTCATACGAGTACAACATTATATTATGATATGTTATTTTTTAAATATTTTTTTCCGATGTTGTGTACAATTTCTACCTTACTGTATTTCCCAATTTTGATATTAGATCTTCAATACCAATATATGGGCCGTCATACAAAACGTTTTTTAACAATATTAAATCACCTTTCTCATATATAACACTTGGTTTATATTCCTACGATAATTAGATTTCCGCATATGTTTACTTTTTAACAAATTATTTCGTGCATCTTTGCATGCTATTTGTAAACGATATTTTAATAATTCTAAACTATAATTCTAGTACTACAACTAGTTCTAGGCTACTACTTAACCTACTAGGAATGTCACAAAGTTTACCGAAGACTAACTCACACGTAGCACATTTTGTAGAAGAATGAAGTGTTATTATAAGTAAAGCACCAAAAAGGTATACTGTGCTTGTCAACTCACTGAGGTGTCAACTATGGCAAACATTCATTATAGCAGCTGAAAATAATAACTTCCATTTTAATTTTTTTCTGTCGCCTCTTATAACACGCAGGGGACGATTTGGGGTAGTGAATATTCTTACACCGTCACTACACGGTTTATTTTAGTAAATTAATTACAAGGAAAATGTTGCTTCGAACAATGTCATATAGTAAATGATATTTAATAGTGCTATTATTTACCTAACATTGTTTTTTGCAATAAAGTCTACTAAAATATACAGTTTTGTCTGTTGTTCAAACGTGAGTGGCCGGTACCAGTAGCGCATAAATTGTTTATTATGCAGATTGGTACGCGATGTGAGATGCTACAAAAAACATTTTGTAAAAACTAGAGTAGTTTTAATACGAAAGTAATATTCATTCTGTAAACGACATGAACAAACACAAGTAGATCCAGTGGTACCAATTTTTCGATTACACAAAGAAGTAATTCATTCATAGGGCAATGTGTTATTGTATTTTGACTGTGAACATACGAGTGGGTATTATTTTCAAGCCAGTGGTAAAAATGATTTGCAAAAGGTATGTAGTATAGAATTTGTTTGCACAAAACTCTGCACTAACGAACAACATTATTGTCGTGTTCACAAGACCTCAGTCAACGTAACGGACTCTTTGATCCCTTAGCTATCGAGTGGTATAATTAAGTTTTGAATGTAGACGACAGATATGTAGCAGCAACATCAAACTGTATCATCGATTTTCTTGTCAGCAACTTTCTGAATTTCCTTGCATTAAGGAAGTTAATAAAAAGACTTATTCAGGTAAAAACTGGATCCTTTTTAACTGACTTAAAAAAGGAGGATGTTCTCAATTCGAGTGTATGTTTTTTTTTTGGTATAAGTATATGTTTTGCGATATGTTCGCAGATTATGAACAGATTTTAATAATTCTATTCTTATTAAATATGCTTTACCTCATCTCTAAATTTAATGGGTATGACATAAAATTTTGAAGAAAACATTTCGCTCCAAAGGGTGGCAAATAGGAAAAAAGTTTCATATTGGACTATTGTTTAAGAAATTTCATATGATATCTTCACAGGTAACGAACCAATTTTAAGGATTCATTTAACCTTTAAAATAGGTTATACTTTAAGGGACTCCACTCATAAGGGTTGCAAATAAATAACTTCTTTTTTAGCAATTTGAAGTCGGTTTTAACTTTTTGTAAATTGTTGTCGGATGTCGGTTTTTATAACTTGTAACAAAAAGTAAAAACCACTTCAAATTGCTAAAAAAGAAGTTATTTATTTGCAACCCTTATGAGTGGAGTCCATTAAAGTATAACCTATTTTTTGTAGCATCTCACATCGCGTACCAATCTGCATAATAAACAATTTATGCGCTACTGGTACCGGCCACTCACGTTTGAACAACAAACAAAACTGTATATTTTAGTAGACTTTATTGCAAAAAACAATGTTAGGTAAATAATAGCACTATTAAATATCATTTACTATATGACATTGTTCGAAGCAACATTTTCCTTGTAATTAATTTACTAAAATAAACCGTGTAGTGACGGTGTAAGAATATTCACTACCCCAAATCGTCCCCTGCGTGTTATAAGAGGCGACAGAAAAAAATTAAAATGGAAGTTATTATTTTCAGCTGCTATAATGAATGTTTGCCATAGTTGACACCTCAGTGAGTTGACAAGCACAGTATACCTTTTTGGTGCTTTACTTATAATAACACTTCATTCTTCTACAAAATGTGCTACGTGTGAGTTAGTTTTCGGTAAACTTTGTGACATTCCTAGTAGGTTAAGTAATAGCCTAGAACTAGTTGTAGTACTAGAATTATAGTTTAGAATTCTTAAAATATCGTTTACAAATAGCATGCAAAGATGCACGAAATAATTTGTTAAAAAGTAAACATATGCGGAAATCTAATTATCGTAGGAATATAAACCAAGTGTTATATATGAGAAAGGTGATTTAATATTGTTAAAAAACGTTTTGTATGACGGCCCATATATTGGTATTGAAGATCTAATATCAAAATTGGGAAATACAGTAAGGTAGAAATTGTACACAACATCGGAAAAAAATATTTAAAAAATAACATATCATAATATAATGTTGTACTCGTATGAGTTTTATTGTTACCTATTTCTATTTGCAAGGTTTGTTACTATTATAACAAAAAATGTCTATTCAAATTCTTTTTTGTGAACTCCCGTAGTGTAATGTGGTACCTATATATTGTAGTCTTAGTTTTAGCATTACGTCAGTCATCTAAATCTATCATTTATTCTCCCTTCAACCCGCACATTTCAAAGTTTAGTGGATATTCATACACATCCACTACATGGTTGCTTAAATATATGATACTTTAACTATGTGAAATTGATGTGTTGCTTTTTTTAAAAGTCGTCACAAATTCGTGACTGTATTCCTGTCAACGCATGGCTTAAATATTTTATTTCCTGAATCTACATGAAAGGGGCAATGTTGATACATCCCGGACAGTGCAAACATTGGTTTTGTTGTGCTATAGAGTCTTTGTTGTCATATCATAATCGTATATGATTTTGTTTGTACACGAGTATGAACCAGCAATTAAGTAATATAATGAAAATATACAAAACCTATCTAGCAATAATTTGTTTACATGACGTTGAAATATATATAATATTAAAAAATTATGATAAAAATCTAAAAGTAAAAACTTTACACATAATGTCCTACTCGCCGCGGTATAGTGCCGAGTACGACTCGCTAAATGGCTATTGTTGCGTTTGAGCGAGGAAAGAACCCGCCTTCTTTACACCAGCAGCGATGACCTGTATCAGATACAGTTCCTTTAGGAACTTCACTGCATGTGTATTTTTACACGCTTACTATTAACTTTTACAACTGGTTTAGCCACGATAAAAATATACCGTGGAAGAACCACGTTGTCGCATAAAAGCAGCGTAAAATAGCAGCTTAATGTTGTTGTATTTCGTAACAACGTTAACAAAGCCGGTGATTTGTATCTCAAAATGATTTTATTAATTCCTTATAGAGAACAGCCAGGATCATAATGTTCTTATTGCTTTCACGATTTATATTGTTTTCATTTGATTTGGTTTTTGTTGTAACATACGTTTGTCTGGGACGTTCAAGTGAATTGAAGTATCGTAAATCATCTCATCTCTTAGAAAAGCATTTAATAATTTTTTGGATAATATTTCCTTTGGATGTCCCACAAAGAGTAAAGCATCTTTTATTCTAACAAAGCATATCGACTTCGTTATTGACATATTTTATTTATTCGTTGGTAGTTATGAAATAAATAATCCAAAATCAATCTTATATCAAGGCCAACTTACGACAGAATCCAGTTCTAAGTCAATCGAATTTTATTTGAAAATTTAATTCATACTCCCGAAACTAAAGCTAACGCAATGGTGGTTTAACTTATAAATGAACGGAAGTCTCGAGCTTTTCTCTGCTAGATGGCGCGCATTGTTACAAACAACGACAATACATTTTCTTTATAAATTTTTCCTATTAATGTAGAAATATTATTTGAGAAGTGCATTTTTTAGTTTAAAAATAATCGAACCAGGTATTAACAATATAACCTATATGACTTATATGACATTCACCTATATGACATTCGGCCAGATAGCTATGCATAACAACGCTACTAACGCTTGATCGTAAATCCATCTCGTTTCTTGATTCATATCGGTTCAGGTAAGTTTTTAGAAATAGTTAGGGTTTTATCGAAAAAACCAAATCGATTTAAAAATAATTTTCGGGAGTAATCCTTCAGACCATGTCTATTACAAACTAATCTTTTATTGGACTATATTATTTTATAGAGAAAAAGAGGTGATATTCCACCTGATGGTAAGCAGCCTAGGGACAACTAGATATAACTTCATACAAAGATGTGGCGTGGTTTACATAATATGTACATAGGTTGAATACAGGATGTTCTTCAGAGTCCATAACAGCACTGGCCATTGCTCTCCAAAGGCGAGCACTTTTGAGCTTCTTTCTTTTTGTGCTTTCTTTTTGTGCGCTGTTCTTAGTTAGAGATAGCTGATACAAAATGAAGACAGTTATCTGGATCTAAAATTTATTTTAGAAAATGAATACATACACAACAGTCACCAATGCAATCAAGAATGCCATTTACTCCAAATAATTTAAGAATAAAAAGCTTAATAAACTCTATTCATGTTGCTGATACCAAAAAATCAACTTAGCAACTGTAATAAAAATTACTTCTCATTACGACACTATTATCTAAATAAGAAGCTATAAAAAACATACTCGCGAAAGTGTAAATATTGGTTCATTAGAGTTCAGTACAATTCGAAATGGTAAAGCAATGTCGTCTTCTTCATAATCCTTTTTAATACGCGCTTTGAATCAATATGTTATTTTTAAGGTAGACAACCTCCCATTCGTTATTACACTCTAGATACATTCCGTACATTAGTACACTCAACTGAAGACTGACAAAACTAATGGTTATTTTATAGAAAAATACTGTTTATTGTTATAGACTTAGGTTGACGACGAGCACACCATACACCTGATGGTAGGTGAATAATAATAATAATAATAATAATAATAAATAAAATGGCGTAGGGAAGTGACGACCCCATCGCCCGCTGACGTGACGGTTATGTGACAAAACCGCTACGTCCGCGCAGTCAGTCAGCACCTTGCCAAGAGGTGTGAGCGCCGTGCCTCGGCAAAAATTGATGGTGCAAGGGCCCGCTTGTGCATATGGCCTCACCATGAAACGGCGCCGGGTCTGGGCGTCTCCCCGTTAAATGACGCCCTGTATGGATGATGGAACACAGAAGATTGCGCAAAGGGCCGCTGCCTGGAGGTCGTCAGGGCGCGTCTGGAGCTGGCGCTGGACGCGACAGCACGCGAACCGCCAGCCGAGCGCGAGGTGCTGCACGACCACCCGGCAGCCCCTCGCATCCATCATCCACACCAGCTTGCTTGGTGTCGGCAGGATCTTTGCAGACCCAGCAATCGGCACCCGCCACTGGTGGAGTACGCCGCATGCGATGGACCATCAATATGAATACAAACGCATTGCGGGCGTATTTTAGGGCGAAAGGGGGAGAAATTGGAAGTTTCGCGTATCGGGCTAGGATGCATCGTCTTTTTACTGAGCTGGAGCCATCTATTACTGTCACCGAGCAAAACCTGGCAGACTGAGTTCGGTATATCTTACGCTCAAATATATTTGATGGCGCCGAACTCGAACGGCTACGACGTGAGGCTGTTCCCTCATCAAATGAAAACGCTACGACTGGGGGTGCGGTGCCACAAGTTGCAGAACAACCCGCACACGTGGATGCCGCCGAGAATACCCCAGTGGTTGCTGATTCAAATGATGATGGAACATTCACCCAGGAACTAGAAATAGAGCAATTTGAGGAGTACATTGGAAGAGGCGATTGTGGAAACACGCAGTACGCCTCTCGAAAATCGACCGCGACTTCCCCGCATAGCCCTAAGCAAGCGGAATCGGGCTGTCGTGAGGGCTCTGAACCCAATGCTGGTGACCTATTTGGAAGCCAGCCGCGACCTTTGCGAGACGGACTCAATTTTTTTGGCGCCGCGCTGGCAGTCTGCCGTATCATAGGCGCCAAGGTTTCCACGGCTGGACGCGCTACTGGCTATAGTAGCGCTATCCCAGCATGGAGAAGAAGAATCGAGAAACGTATCGCAAAGACTAGAGCTCTCATCGGCAGACTGATAAGCTTCAGATCAGGCAATAACAGGCCAAGAATTGTGCGCACCGTCAGGATGGCGTTTGCTGGGACAAATGTCAGTTTGTCCCAGCCGGATATAACGCAAAAACTGACGGAGCGCATAGACGACCTGAAGCAGAGAATCGCTGCTTGGGGAAAGCGAATTGGGCGATATACCGAGAGGTCGACACGGTTCAACCAGAATCGTCTCTTCCAGAGTAATCAGAAGAGGCTCTACAAATCATTGGAGCGACTAGTGGTAAGTGGAACGGGCCCAGTACCGAATCAGGCCGACACTGTAGCATTCTGGCGCGGCCTGTGGTCAGAGCCCGTAAACCACAGCGAGAGCCCTTGGACGGAAGTTGTGGCGAGTCAGTGTGCGGGTATTATGCCGATGGACCTCGTCATCATAACGCCGGATGACGTAGCTGAGGCGGTCCGTAGGGCCACGAACTGGAAAAGTCCGGGGCTTGACGGGCTGCATCACTACTGGCTGAAGGGGTTCATGGTGTGTCACACTGTGCTCGCACGACAGTTTCAAGAGGCTCTCAACCAGAAGTCGCTCCCGAGCCTCTTCACTACTGGGATCACTCATTTGGTTCCTAAAGTACCACAGACCCGAGCAAATACCGCCCCATCACGTGTCTACCGACCATATACAAGACACTAACATCCATTTTGAGCGCGAGAATCACTTTTCACCTGGAATCAAATCAGGTGATGTCGCGCGCTCAAAATGGATGTCGGGACGGTGGTCGTGGAACCAAGGAACCACTCCTCATTGACGCGGTCATTGGCAAAGTGGTGAAACGCAACCGTCGGAACTTCTCCGCCGCCTGGATAGACTACAGAAAGGCATTCGACTCGGTGCCCCATACATGGCTAAAGAGAGTCCTCGAGCTGTACAAGATAGACTGTACAGTTAGAGACTTCCTCGAGCAGTGTATGGGGCAGTGGAGTACGATCCTTTGTCATCTGGGTGAGCGGATGATGGCTGCGGAGAACCACATAAGGATAAGAATGGGTATCTTTCATTGTCTGAGTCCAATCTGGTTCTCCTCTCTCTGAACCCTCTCAGTACAGAAATTATTCCTGTAGTCGTCTCTGCAAACGGGCTAATCCCAGTCAGCCTCTCGGGTCAGCTGAGGCGACTGGGACTACGTGGCGGACCGCTCCAGGTTCAAATGCAGAAGGCGGTGCTCCTCGATACCGCCCGCATCGTTCGCCGGTTTCTTTCCCTTTCCCCCTAACCCTCGGCCGTTTGGTCTCCCCTGCCGAGGGCCTCCATCTGGTTGGGCTTTTATTTATTTATGTACTTTTATATTTATTTTATGTTATTGATATTTATGTATATTTGTCTTTTCATTTTCATTTATAATTATATATTTATAGCACCCAACCAGATGAGAAAACTATATAGATACCCCAAAATAATAATAATAAATACGGAAATTGCCGTATTACAAGTACTTACCGGAAGCCGTGCTCGAAAATGACCGCGCCATGCTCTACTGGGACCGGGCCATCATCACAGACAGGACTATTCTTGCGAATAAGCCTGATATTGTGTTGATGGACCGGGCACAGTCAGGGATATTTTTGGTCGATATTACCATCCCGTATGACGAGAACCTCGTGAAAGCCGAAACAGATAAGCAATCAAAGTATCTGCACCTGGCTCACGAGGTGACCGACATGTGGAGTGGTATGCCGACCGAAATTATTCCTGTAGTCGTCTCTGCGAATGGGCTAATCCCAGTTAGCCTCTCTGGTCATCTGAGGCGACTGGGACTCCGGGACGGACCGCTCCGGGCTCAAATGCAGAAGGCGGTGCTCCTTGATACTGCCCGCATCGTCCGCCGGTTTCTTTCCCTTTCCCCCTAACACTTGGCCGTTTGGTCTCCCCCTGCCGAGGGCTTCCATCTGGTTGGGCTTTTATTTATTTATGTATTTTTGTATTTATTTTATTTTATTAATATTTACGTATATTTATCTTTTCATTTTCATTTTTAATTATATATTTATACATCCCAATCAGATGAGAAAACTATATAGATACCCCACATAATAATAATAACTCCTCGATACCGCCCGCATCGTCCGCCGGTTTCTTTCCCTTTCCCCCTAACCCTCGGCCGTCTCGTCTCCCCTGCCGAGGGCTCCCATCTGGTTGGATCTTATTTATTTATGTAGTTTTTGTGTTTATTTTATTTTATTGATATTTATGTATATTTTTGATCGACATTATCATTCCGTATTACGAGAACCACGTGAAAGCCGAAACAGATAAACAAACAAAATATCTGGACCTGGCTCACGAGGTGACCGACATGTGGGGTGGTGTGTCGACCGAAATTATTCCTGTAGTCGTCTCTGCGAATGGGCTAATCCCAGTCAGCCTCTCGGGTCATCTGAGGGACTGGGACTCCATGACGGACCGCTCCGGGCTCAAATGCAGAAGGCGGTACTCCTCGATACCGCCCGCATCGTCCGCGGGTTTCTTTCCCTTTCCCCCTAACCCTCGGCCGTCTGGTCTCCCCTGCCGAGGGCTCCCATCTGGTTGGATCTTATTTATTTATGCAGTTTTTTTATTTATTTTATTTTATTGATATTTATTTACATTTATCTTTTCATTTTAATTTATAATTATATATTTATAGAACCTAACCAGGTGAGAAAATTATATAGAGACCCCAATAATAATAATAATAATAATAATAATAATTTTTTTATTTGACACTTATAATTTCATACAACATCATTGAGCCCTGACTCCCAAACTAGGATACCCTGTATTTCAGGAGTCAGTTCCTTCCCATTCAGTAACTCTTTGTGTCAAAATACATTAGAGAAATGTTGATATATATTTAATACACAGTTAACACTCTATACATTGTGTGTGTGTGTGTGTGTGTGTGTGTGTGTGTGTGTGTGTGTGTGTGTGTGTGTGTGTGACAATATGATTGATAATGTCTATGGGTACGTAAAGAGGGGGCTAACGAGCATGCGGATCACCTGGTGGCAAGTGTCAACCGCCGCCATTAACAACTGCCACACTAGGGTAATTGCAAATACGTTGCCGGTCTTTCAGGACGAGTAATCAGCTCGTTTCTTGAAGGTCTCTTAGACGTGTCAGTCTGGAAAAAAATGCCGATGGTAAATGATTCCACATAGTCGTGGGAGGAAAAAGCTCCCAGTAAAACGCTGCTAGTAAAACGCACAGTGGTTTGTCGCGATGTGCGTTAGTGAAATTTGGCATCCAGAATCAATCCGAACCATTCCTCAGGGTACTATAGAATATATATATATATATATATATACTATAGAATGCAGATGTAGGTGTCCTTGGCCCACAGCATTCTCTTACCGTCAAGTGAACTATGTGCTCGTTTGTCACTTATCTCGTGGTAAACAAATAGCATAACACTTATTTTTTTACGATGGTAAGTGGATGCTGTGGCTCGTGTACATCTTCATTAATTCTCGATTATAAATCAAAATGTAGATGCATTGTCACCCCCGAGAGCTACGATCGAATACCTCATTTCTATTAAAAAAGAGGACTCCGGTTCTCTACACTCAACATACGAAACATAGCACTATTAAGCTGCTATTTTACGCTGGTATAATGTGAGAACTCGGTCCTTCCTCGGTCGAGCCAACCCATTTGTGCTACAACAATATTATAGCTACAGCAGGGTTCTACCACGTTTACATGCAAGACATGTCTAAAAATAGGAAAAAATGTATTAATAATTTCTTATATTTACGTGAATACTACACATTGAAACTATTTTCACTCTAGACGAAAAAGAGGGGTGTTATAAGTTTGACCGCTGTGTGTCTGTCTGTCCGTCTATCTGTTGTTTTAAAAAAAACCTCAAATTACTCTCAACGCTTGATTTTGTACTTTATCTAGCTTACTTACATACCTTTGACAAAATTCATACCTTTTGTTTAATTACATACCTTTGAAAAAAATCTAGAAGTTTTATATAGTAACTCAGTAATATGTTTATTCAATTTTAATAAGCGGTAAAGTTATCACGACAAGATTTTGGTTTTTTAAACCCAGTGGTCTTCTCGTGAAGAGGATTATTTTTTTCTCACATAAACAATAAATAAGAGAGATTAATTTTAAAGCTGCTACTGAAGATGGATCACGATCTGGTTTAGGTAATGTTATTATGAGAATTTAACGCCATTGCGAGGGAATAAAACTAAAAGTGTAAAATAAACTATAAAGATTTAGTAAAATACTTACAGTGTTATGAGGTAAATATTTAATGGGGAGAACGTATGCTCAGCAGTGGACTTTTATAGGTTTTAATAGATATCTTACGCTGATATTGTGTGGAAACGAAGACCTTTCCCGGTCCAGTTGACTCATCGGTACTGCAGCCATACTACGTTGCATCGTGACTCTACCTCGTGAATATTGACGCCTCTGTGGCGCAGTGGCTTCGTGAGGAGTTCAAGGCAGCGGGTTTGAATCCCGCACTTAAGAGGTATGACATACAAATAATTGATCCGTGTCTGGATGTTTATCTTTGTGCAATTTGAGTATGAAAACCACGATACCACGAAACTTACGTGAATGTACTTTGGTGAGTGTAGAGAACCGGAGACCCTTTTTACTGCCTACAAGGCATTCCGTCTATCCTCAGGAGTGACAACGCATCTGCATTTTGATACTTAAATGAGAATAAGTGTAGATGTCCATGGGACACAGCACCCAATAGCATTAGTTAGACTGGGTGTTCGTTATTCACTTATTCTATATTAAAAGAACGTAATGCTGTATTTCTTAAGATGAGTGTAAAAAACTGGGGTGTAGCCCATATCGTAGTGTGTAGTTACGTATATTTAACGAAACGACCTCAAAAAGGCGGCGCTCATTCAATGTAACGAATTCGTTCGAGATCTGAATATCGAGCTATCGAATGGTGTAATTAAATTTTGAATGTAGATGATAGATATTTAAAAAATATCTTGAAGACATGTGAAGTCTGACAACACTCACTGGAGCATCGCGGCGGACTACATTAAATAGCATCACGGCTGCAATTCCCGAAGTGGGTAGGCAAAGGTGAAAGACAAGGGAGGTACTCGGACCACGTTTAGCCAAAAATATGGGTAGAAAACTGTGAAAGAAGTGATATCCAATTAGTTGCCCTTCACGTACATACATCACAAGCAAGTAACACAGAACATTATTTATCTAATAAATCCCACATAAACATGGGACCTATACGTTACAGAACAATAAAGGACAACAATCGACTCAACAATCAACCCAACAATCAACCCAACAATCAACCTAACAATCGACCTAACAATCGACCCTACATTCGATCCAACAATCGACCCATTAATCGTCCCAGCAATTGATCCAACAATCGACCGAACAATCTACCCAACAATCAACTCAACAATCAACCCAAACAATCAACCCGACAAACAACCCAACAATCAACACAAACAATTAACCCAACAACCGACTTATCAATCGACCCAACTATCGATCCAAAGATCGACCCATTAAACGATCCAACAATCGATCCAACAATCAGCCCAACAATCGACCCGACAATCGACCCAACAATCGACCCAACAATCAACCCAATAATCAACCCAAACAATCAACAAAATAATCCACTCATCAATCGA